GAGCCGAGGAGCACGGCAAGCGGGCTGGCCGCGCAGGCATGGTCTCGGGCAAGCAGGCCGCGCAGGCGTGGTCTTGGGTAGCATGCGACCGAGGAGCACGGCGTAGGCGGGCAGGCCGCGCAAGCGTGGTCTCGGGCAGCATGCGGCCGAGGAGCACGACGCAGGCAGGCAAGCCGCGCAGGCGTGGTCTCGAGCAGCATGGAGCCGAGGAGCATGACGCAGGTGGGCAGGCTATGCAGGTGTGGTCTTGGGAAGCATGGGGCCGAGGAACACGGCGCAGGCGTGGTCTCGGGGCAGCATGGAGCCGAGGGGCACAACGTAGGCGGGTAGGCCGCGCAGGTGTGGTCTTGGGCAGCATGGAGCCGAGGAGCACGACGCAGATGGGCTGCGGCCGAGGGATGTAAATACAAAAGGGGTTAGGTCGGGGCTAACCGCGAGCCGAGAGGCGGTCAGGTAGATACTGAGCCTTCACTCGGAAGAGACTAAGGCAGGGCCTAGATTTTTTTTCACGAGGACTACATCGGATAGCCACCACGGGTGCTTGACCTCTTCTATAGAGCCCGCTGTCGAAAGTCGTCCCTTCTCCTCACGGTCACCCAGGCCTTCGCCACGATGTACTGGTTAGCCCGCTGGAGCATCTCTGGAGGGTCGCAGGCCTATCATAAACGCCTGCACCAACAGAGAGGGATGAGCGTTCGGCAAACCCCGAATTTGCGTGGCAAAGCGATCCACAAAATGTGAGAGGGGCTCGTCCTCCCTTTGGTTGAGTCCGATGAGCAGTGCCACGGACGGTTTCGGCTGGGCGTAGGCCAGGAAGTTAAGCTTAAAGTCCTTGACGAGCTGGCCGAAGGACGTGATCGTCCCGAGCTTCAGATTGCTATACCATGCACAAGCTGGCCCCCTTAGAGTAGTGGGGAACGCCTTGCACATCAAGGCGTCTTAGGTTTCGTAGAGTGCCATTTGGGCACGGAAGGCGGCTACATGGTCCGCTAGGTCGGTGGAGCCGTCGTATGTGTCCAGGGAGGGGAGTCAGAAGTTAGGGGGGACTGTCTGATCTTGTATCTCGGGCGTGAAGGGAGATCCCCGATGTGCGTCCTCCCCGAGCTCTCCCTTGGACCTGCGAAGCTCATTTTGCACCTCGTCGAGTCGTTGGCTGACGAAGCGCAACTGGGCTCGTAGGGAGTCCGTAAAATCCGAAGACAGCGCCTCGGGTTCCGGGTGGCCTCTTGGGTTTGCTGTCACTTGATCCCCGAGTGGGGCCGATGGAACCCGAGGCGAAGCGGGGAGTTCACGAGGCGACGAGTGAGCCTGAACGGGTGGCTCTTGTTGCCGTAGTGGTTGGACGGCCAACAGGTGCAGCGGACGAGAAATAAGTGGAATGATGGATTGCACCATAGCAGTCTGAGTTCGGACTTGATGGGTGAGGTCGTGAAAGGCCTCGGACGACACGGGCGACGGGTTGGAAGGGGCGTCGTCGGGTGGCGATAAGCCCGGGTCGTCGAATATCCGCCAATATCACTCTAAGGTCATGGCGGGGTGTTCGTCACGATGATCTCCGTGCGGGGGATGTTCCCCCAAAGCTTCAATCGGGTGTGACCTCTCAATCGCGGGCTCGTTTGAGCCAATCGGGGGATCCCTCGACATCAGGGCCCTCCTTTTAGCGCCAAAATATTATGGGAAACTACCTTGAGCTGTGGCCTCGGGGCCGACATGGCTCGGTTCGGGTCCTGATGACGGGGATCTTCCCGGTACGACCCTCGGGTCCGCTGAGGTGGCCAACTGCGGTGGTCTGATCGGAGCGGGGTCACCGTTTCCTCCGAGCAAGAACTCCTCTCCTGCGCGTCCGGTGGGGACCTTCGGCTTCGTGTTGGGAAATCTTGGGGGCGACATCACATGCGCAGTGGAAGAACAAGAAAAACAAAATCCCCGATTCCTAAAGAGATGTTCGTCGTCGTGCGAAGATTGGTACACAAAATCCGCGAGACTTAAAACTACGTATAGAGTAGATTGTGTTACCTAGGGAGATCGTATATCCCTGTTTCCTTACAGATCCTTAGGAGAGGGTAAAGGAGGTCAAGCGTCCTCCTCTCTAGCGGTGATCCACACAGCAGGGTTGCGACGACGCTCCTCAAAACTCCAGGCCTGCTCTGAGGTGGAGAGGGAGAGGAGAATAGGAAAGACATGCAAAAGCTCTCTAGAATATGAGACTCTGAATCCCTCCTATTTATAGAGGTCCCCTGTCAAACCCAAATGGGTCCTCCCCTAGTGGGTATTGGATCTGCATCCAATAAGACAAGGGCTCCGTCGAATATCTCATATCCGAACCTCTACTCATTGTAATGCCTACCATATGTGTGTGACCCTCTAGGCCTAATATCGAGCTGGCCGTGAGTCATACCTGTCAGAACTCCTTCTAACTCAGTGAATTATTATTTCTGTAATAATTCACTCAACTCATCGACTACGGACGTACTAGGCCACTACGCCGTAGTCCCCAGACGATACAGGGGAATCCAATCCATTGGACCTGTCTGTCCTCAGTTACCGTGTACCTATAGTCCCTCATCCATCTAATATCCCAGAGACCGTATATCGAGCATGGTGTTGTCAGACCCATACGGTTTCTACTCGAGTCTCGCTCTAATCGGATTCTCCCGGAGAACTCTTTTTCTCTCAACCCGAATGACCCTGGCCAGGGATTTGTCTGAGCAAGAACACATGGAATATTCCTCTCATGATGCCGAGAGTGGATGATCCTCTATCGACACTCAATAGCCCTCGTAAGGTCGACTACCATTCCCAATGACCAGCTGTACTAGATCTGGGACAACCAAACCTATAAGTCTGGTATCAAAGAGTGGAGCACTCATACATGACATCCTTGGTGTCTCAAGTCTGAGGACCAGATACACCACTAGGACTACGGAATCGTTGTCTGACAAAAAGGCATCATCAACCATCCAGCATTCCGTAAACGGATCAATCAGTGAACTCATTCTCCAATGAGCACCTGTACTGTATCCCTAGTGTCCCTACACGAGCAGCTATGAGACCAGCTGCATCCATCATATGGACGGGTATATAGCACACCAGTCTATCCGGTTATCATGATATCCCTCTCGAGTAACCTATGACCGGGATTATTTAGGATATGTGTTTAAAGGTGAATCGATCTCATTATCGTGATCTTATCACGATCCGATTCTCATTGCACAAATCCAAGGACATCACAATATGTAATAGTTGATAGGGGTAATAATGGTGACATGACGTGCCACGACGTCAGCTATACATATATGATGCTCTGCCCCAAAAGAGGGCAATAATGCCGACGGGATGTGCGCTGATGTCACCCACTCTCAGACAACAATCCCATCGTCGTCTGACCTGGCACGCTTGACCGAGGCAGAGGAGGATGACGACCAATGCTCGCCCATACCCTGCGGCAGTTCGGTTCTCGACGCAACGCCATCGGTAATGTCAGACGCCATCAGAGGTACGGTCCTGCTCCTGCAAGCAGGCACATCAGGTAATACTAAACTGCCTTATAAATACCCCCGAGTTCTAAACGACCGGGGAGGACACTTCTTGACTAGCAAAACTCCTTCCACATCATCTGACTTGATCGTCGGAGGGGTCGGGTCGAGTTTTCGACCCGACCTGTCTGCAGTTACAAGGGTGAGGTTACATCTTCCCAGCGTCGCGGAAAAGCTTCGCTCCACACGCAACGTCCCACCCGGACTATTGCAACCGGCCACCCCGGCTGTCCCGAGGAACGCCGCGCAAGATCCCCTCGCATTCGGACCCGAACAAAGTCGCGACGGCCCCGAGGCCACGGCATAAAGGTGTTCACACTAACACTCCCAATGACCAGCTGTACTAGATCTGAGACAGCCAAACCTTTAAGTCTGGTATCAAAGAGTGGAGCACTCATACAGGACATCCTTGGTGTCTCAAGTCTGAGGACCAGATACATCACTAGGACTACGGAATCGTTGTCTGACAATAAGGCATCATCAACCATCCAGCATTCCGTAAGCGGATCAATCAGTGAACTCATTCTCCAATGAGCACCTGTACTGTATCCCTAGTGTCCCTACATGAGCAGCTATGAGACCAGCTGCATCCATCATATGGACGGGTATATAGCACACCAGTCTATCTGGTTATCATGATGTCCCTCTCGAGTAACCTATGACCGGGATTATTTAGGATATGTGTTTAAAGGTGAATCGATCTCATTATCGTGATCTTATCACGATCCGATTCTCATTGCACAAATCAAAGGACATCACAATATGTATGCATTTATGCAATAGTTGATAGGGGTAATAATGGTGACATGACGTGCCACGACGCCAGCCATACCTATATGATGCTCTGCCCCAAAAGAGGGCAATATTGCCGACGGGATTTGCGCTGATGTCACCCACTCTCAGACAACAATCCCATCGTCGTTTGACCCGGCACGCTTGACCGAGGCAGAGGAGGATGACGACTAATGCTCGCCCATACCCTGCGGCAGTTCGGTTCTCGACGCAACGCCATCGATAATGTCAGACGCCATCAGAGGTACGGTCCTGCTCCTGCAAGCAGGCACATCAAGTAATACTAAACTGCCTTATAAATACCCCTGAGTTCTAAACGACGGGGGAGGACACTTCTTGACTAGCAAAACTCCTTCCACATCATCTGACTTGATCGTTGGAGGGGTCGGGCCGAGCTTCCGACCCGACCTGTCTGCAGGTACAAGGGTGAGGTTGCATCTTCCCAGCACCGCGAAAAAGCTTCGCTCCACACGCAACTTCCCGCCCGGACTATTGCACCCGGCCTCCCTAGTTGTCCCGAGGAACGCCGCGCAAGATCCCCTCGCATTCGGACCCGAACCAAGCCGCGACGTCCCCGAGGCCACGGCATAAAGGTGTTCACACTAACATTTTGTCGCTAGAAGGAGGGCTGAATGTCGAGTGATCAGCAGATCCACTCTGGCGAACCTACAGCCATGGGGTCGCGTCCGATCGACACCCCAGAAGAACATCCCCTGCATGATGAACCCCGAGACGAACGCCCTGCCACGACATCGGAGCGCTCCTGGCGGCTGTTCAACGATCCGGGTTTGTCGCCACCCAATGCCCCCGTCGGCCCGTCGCCTGTGTCGCCCGAAGCCTTCCATGACCTCGCTCATCAAGTCCGAGCACTGGCGGGCGTGGTACAGACTATCATCCCGCTCGTCTCCCAACCGACGCCCCCACATATAACCTAGCCTCTGCAACAGCGGGAGCCCCTTACCTGGACGCATGCATCACTCCCCGAGCTCCCCACTTCGCCTCGAAACCGAACAACCCAACCCGGGAACCGCGAGGCGGAAGACACGTCGAGCTGCCCAGAGCCCGAGGCACTATCCGTGGACTCGACGAACGCCCTGCGAGCCCAGTTGCGCCTCGTTAGTCAGCGCCTCGACGAAGTACAGCAGGAGGTTCGCAGGTCAAAAGGAGAGCTCGGAGCGGACGGACACCAAGGGTCCCCGTTCGCACCCGAAATACAAGATCAAGTGATCCCACCACACTTTCGGCTCCCTTCGCTAGATGCCTATGACGGCGCCACTGACCCCGCGGACCACGTAGCCACATTTCGCGCCCAAATGGCGCTATATGGGACTTCTGACGCCTTGATGTGTAGGGCATTCCCAACGACTTTGAGGGGGTCGGCCCGCACGTGGTACAGCGGCCTGAAGACCGAGACCGTCACTTTCTTCGATTAGCTCGCCAGAGACTTCGAGCTCAACTTCCTAGCCTACGCCCGACCAAAGCCGTCCGTGGCGTTGCTCCTCGGACTCAAACAAAGGGAGGACGAGCCCCTCTCCAATTTTGTGAACCGTTTTACGACGCAGATCCGAGGGCTCTCAGATGCTCACCCCTCTCTGTTGATGCAGGCATTCATGATAGGCCTGCGGCCTTCCAGGTTCTTTTGGTCTCTGGTGGAGCGACCCCCCACGATGGTACCCGAGATGCTCCAGCGAGCGAGCCAGTTCATCGTCGCAGAGGCATGGATGGCCGGGAGGTGCGAAGAGCACAAGAGGGTCAAGTCGGAGTTGCCCCGGCAGCAGCAATCCGCTGCGTCTCGGCGTAGGTTGGATAGATCCGACCCGCTGGCACCGAGGCCCCCTCTCCCCACCTTGAACTCATCCCGAACAGAAATATTTCTCCACATAAGGGAGAAGGGACTGCTCAAAGAGCCCTACCCGATGAGGAGTCCGCGGGCGCTGGCGGACCAATCGAAGTACTGCCGCTTCCGCCGGCAGCACGAGCATGACACTGAACAGTGCCGGGAGTTAAAAATGCAGATCGAGGAGCTCATTCGTAGGGGACATCTCGGCCAGTACCTTCGGCCGGACAAGGAACCTTCACCGCGCCCAGAGGGTCCCATCGAATGTCACATTGATGTGATAGCTGGCGGCCCCGCATCAGGCGGGGATTCCATGACCAGAAGAAAGGTGTACGCCCGAGCCGCCCCGGCTGAAGCTCCCAGGAAAAGGCCCGAGCCCGAGGTTACTTTCCCGGCCGGAGCATCCGACCAATCCGAGCACGACGATGCGCTCGTGATATCGGCAACGATCGCCAATGCGCAAGTAAGAATGATCATGGTCGATACCGGGAGCTCGGCCGACATACTCTACTTCGACGCCTTCCAAAAGCTCGGCTTGTCCGGAGACAACATGAAGCCAATATTCTCGGCACTCATCGGATTCACCGGCAATTCGATCTCACCACTGGGGGCAATCACTTTACCCTTGACCCTGGGGGCCCCACCAAGGTCGAAGACAGTAATGACCACCTTCTTAGTGATCGACCTCCTCGCTGCATACAACGCCATTCTCGGCCGACCGACCCTCAACAAAGTTAGAGCCGTCGTCTCAACTTACTACCAGACCGTGAAGTTCCCGACCCATGTCGGGACCGGAGAAGTCATGGGAAGCCCCCGAGAATCCAAGCGCTGCTACCTGACCGTCGTTTCACTACACAAGAGAGCAAGGGTCGAGCCACCATTGGCGGACCCCTGGAGGCGAAGAAGCCAGCCCCCCATCCTGAGCCGAGGGGATCCACCATCGACTTGCCGCTGCTAGAGGGACGGCCATACCATATGGTGAAGATAGGATCGAAGCTACCCGAGCAAGAATGAAGGCAACTCGTCGGCCTCCTACAGAAAAACGTCGACGTCTTCGCTTGGTCGCCCTCTGACATGACGGGCGTCGACCCGGAGGTAGCGCAGCATCACCTCAATATTTCACCTGACGCTCGCCTAGTAAAACAAAAACCAATACGGCAGGCCCCTGATCGGTAGCTGGCCATACAAGAAGAAGTGGGCCGACTTCTGGCGGTGGACTTCATAGAATAAGCCAGATACCCACGATGGCTATCCAATGTTGTCCTCGTCAAGAAAGCTAATGGAAGCTGGAGGATGTGCGTTGATTACACCAGTCTCAACAATGCATACTCGAAGGATTGCTATCCCCTTCCAAAGGTCGACCAGTTGGTCGACGCTACGGCCGGACACGCCCGCCTCTCGTTTATGGACGCCTTCTCGGGATACAACCAGATCAGAATGGCACCCGAAGACCAAGAGCATACGGCCTTCCTCACCGATCAAGGTGTTTACTTTTACAAGGTCATGCCCTTCGGATTGAAGAACGCCGGGGCTACATACCAGAGAACAGTAAACAAGATGTTCGCCCACCAGATCGGGCGGAACATGAAAGTTTACGTCGACGACATGATTGTCAAAAGCCAAGAGGCGGGAGCCCACCTGACCGATCTGGCCGAGGCGTTCGCCACGCTGCGCAAGTACGACATGAGACTCAACCCCGCGAAGTGCGCCTTCGGCGTCACCTCGGAAAAGTTCCTCAGGTTCATCATACACGAAAGAGGAATTGACGCCAACTCGGAGAAAGTCTAGGGAATCATCAATATGCAGTCGCCTCGAATGATCAAAGACCTGCAACGCCTTAACGGGAGGCTCATCGCCATGTCCCGTTTCCTTGCCCGGTCAGGTGATCGCTGCCTCCCCTTCTTCCAATCACTGAAGAGCCCGAAAAATTTCCAATGAACGACAGAATGCGAGGAAGCCTTCAGACAAATGAAGCAGCACTTGGCCAACCTCCCCCGGTTTGCCTCAGTCTCCCCTAGGGAGAAGCTAGGCCTCTACCTGGCTGCCTCCCAGCACGCAGTCAGTTCCGTCCTGGTCAAAGAAAGTTCCGACGAACAGCTTCCGGTCTACCATGTCAGCACGCAGTCAGGAGCGATACCCACCGATCGAAAAGCTGGCACTTGCGCTCGTGCTGTCAGCCGGGAAGCTACGCCCCTACTTCCAGGCTCACCCGGTGGAGGTCATCACCGACCAACCACTTCGTCAGATCTTGTCTAAATTTGATGTTGCAGGACGTCTTCTCAAATGGGCGGTGGAGCTCGGCGAGCATGACATATAATACGTGCCTAGGACCGCTATCAAAGCCCAGTCTGTGGCCGACTTCATCGCAGAATTAACCCAGATCGAGGACGAGGGTCTCGAGCGACCTCCCGAAGCGTGGGTCCCGCACGTCGACGGATCGGCCAACTCAAAGGGCACTGACGCGGGGCTGGTGCTACTAGCTCCCGACGGGCCGTCATTCGAGCGCTCCCTCCGCTTCGGGTTCCAGGCCACCAACAACGAGGCGGAATACGAGGCGCTCCTAGCGGGACTCAGTTTGGCCCTCGAAATGCAAGTGGTCGCCATACGCGTCCTCACCGACGCGCAACTAGTAGCCGAGCAACTCAGCGGGGGATACGAGGCTCGGGACCCGATCATGGCGAAGTACCTGGCACATGTAAAGAACTTGACCGTCAAGTTCCCTCATTTTACATTATCTAATGTCCCGAGGGGAGAAAACGAGTGAGCCGACACACTAGCTAAGCTGGCGTCAAAGCTGGCCCTCGAAGCCGAGCCCGAGGTCGAGGAGCTCCCTGACCATGCCATTGAAATCGTAGCGGTGACCCCGGGCGGCGCGCCTACCACTTGGGTACAAGAATTGTTACGTTTTAAACGGGACGGGACCCTTCCGCCCGACGAAGCTACGGCTCGACGCCTGCGTCGCACGCATGCATGGTATACCGAAGTGAGTGGATGGCTCTACAAGCGGTCCTTCACATACCCCCTCCTACGGTGCTTGGAGCCCGACGAAGCTCAGACGGTCCTGGCTGAGATCCACGAAGGAGTCTATAAGGAACACATCGGCAGGCGAACCCTGGCACACAAAACACTTCGCCAAGGTTACTACTGGCCGACCATGTGTCGGGACGCGAAGGCCTACGTGCAGCGGTGCAGTTCGTGCCAAGAACACGCCCGCACACCCCCATCGATTGCGCATGGTCGTTCGCGCAGTGGGGTTTGGACCTGCTCGGACCTTTCCCGCCAGCCTCGGGACAACGAAGATATATCGTCGTGGGAGTGGGTTATTTCACAAAGTGGGTCGAAGCCGAACCATTGGCGACGATCACGGAGCGTCAAATTGAGAAGTTCGTATGGAGGAACCTGATGACTCGGTTCGGCTTGCCCAGAACCATCATTACAGATAATGGGCCCCAGTTCGCCGGTACAAGGTTCCGAGAGTTTTGTGCAAGCCACGGAATCCAACTGAAGTTCAGCTCGGTGGCTCACCCCCAGACGAACGGGCTGGCGGAGGTAACCAATCGGTCCATTCTAGATGAGCTCAAAAGGAGAGTATCCGCAGCCCGATCGGCTTGGGCGGACGAACTCCCGAGCGTCTTATGGTCGTTACGCACCACCCCCAAAACCGCGACTGGAGAGTCCCCCTACAGCCTCGCGTTCGGAACCGAAGCTGTCGTACCACCTGAGGTGGTTATTCCCACCCTTCGGACAAGAAACTACGACGAGGAGGCCGTGAACGAAGGACTTCGAGCCAGCCTCGACATGCTCGAAAAACGGCGTGCTGATGCACACTTGAAAGCCCTCTCTTATAAAAGAGCGGTCGCGAGGGTCTACAATCGAAAGGTACGACCCCGACCCATTAAACTAGGCGACCTAGTCTTACGGAAGACCGAGGTTAGCGATCCGACCCAAGCGCGCGGTAAGTTAGCCCCCAATTGGGAAGGCCCTTACCGGGTGACTGAAGTTATCAGGGTCGGTACATACCGACTCGCGACGATGATGGGCCGCCCTTTGCCAAGGACTTGGAACACACAAAACCTCAAAAAGTTCTTTTCATGAGCGGAGACTTGGCTAAAGACAGAATTGTATTGCGACATCAGAAGACACAAGCAGACAAACTAGGGAAAAGGAAAAAGACTGCATTCATTTAGGAAACACATTACATGTCAAAACTCCCGAGCGACAAGACAACAAAGAAAAAGTACAGATGCGTCGACACTTATTCAGGAGCGTCGGGGCTGTCATCAAAAGGGACCTCGTCCGACATGTTGACGCCCATGTCCTCAGGAAATGAGTCGAAGGGGTCTTCCACGACCTCCAGGTTAGGGTGGCGCCCCTTAAAACGGGCAAGGGCAATCCGGTACCCGTATTCATACGAGACCCGCCCAGTCCGAACAAGGCCAAGTTGAAAGCCCGAGGAACCTTTGTAGTCCTCGATCAATTTCTTGTCCATTTCCGGCCTTTGGTGGATCTCGGCATCAAGAGCCTCGGAAGCCCCCCGCACCTCGGCACATGCCTCTTCCAGACGACGGATCATTTCCAGTGAATCCGCCCTCGGCGAGCGAGCTTCGGCCACCGACGCCTTCAGATGCCCCTGAAGCTCCATACTTCGTGCCTCGGATGCCTAGAGTTCGGATCGAAGGCGCGTCACCTCCGCATCTGAGTCCGCGGCGCGCTGCTCAGCCGCCGCGACCGCCTCAGGAACCCCCCCGGCACGGACCTCGTCCAACTGCTTCCGGAGATCGGCGTTGCGGCCACAAAGGGCGGCGATGACCCGCCCCGCGTCGCGAACGCGGTCCATTAGCGCCACGGCGTAGTGATTACCCTGCAGGCGAACGAGTCAAAACAAAAAACTATCCGGGCACGCGCAAACAAAGGGACGGAATAACACTTACCCACAGTAGCGACTTAGCAGACTTGCCGAGGAGGACCTCGTAGGGCAGAGTATACAAATCCCGAGCTATGTCGGGATGAAGCCCCCCGTGGACAAACTCGGCTGCAGAATCCCCCTCGGCCCACACCCGGCTGCCTCGGGTGAGGCCCTGCCAACGGGCCACAAGCGGGTCGGAGGCCTCACCCCGCGGGAGACTGCCCACCATCCGCATCTGGTAAGGTTCGTCCTTCCCCTCGATCGACAGACGACAAAGGTCGCGGACGGAGGGCCCTCGAGGAGCCTCCCCCGTCGCATCCCTACTGGGGCCAGCTTCGCCTCTCCCGGGGCTCCCCCCGGCATGGCCCGCCGGCACAATGACGGCGAGACCGCGGCCTCTCCCGAGACTTCGCTCGAGGAAACCCTCGCCCTCTTCCGTGGAAGACCGGCCTCGACGTCCACCGGGGCCTCCCTCGAACCAGCCCTCGCCGCGGCCGGCGAACGAGACGACGCGGCCGACGAAGTCTTCCCTCCGCGCACGGCAGTGAGGTTCACCATTTCTGCACGAAAAAACTGAACTCGGTCAGAACACCAAAAAGCATGAAGACCCGCCACTACCTTCTTTAAGGCATACCTCGAGGCACCGGGCTAAGACCCACCTCGACCAACCACTTCTCGGACATACTACGGATGGCTTTTGAGGCTGGAAGAATTTATTTAAGCCTCCGGAGCTCTCGACGCTCCACGTCGTCCAAGGCCGGGGCAGCATTGTCTATCACGCGCGCCGCCCACCGGACCCCGAACCCCCAGTCCTCTGAGCGGCTGACGAAAAAGAAGCGCTCCTTCCACCCCTTATTACTAGAAGGGGCCCCGCTAACTCGAAAGCCCGCTCGGGCGGACAGATAGTAGCCCCCCGACCCCTTGGAAAGACGAAAGCAAGAAAGGAAGAGGGATAGGGTCGGGGTGATATTGGTATAGTGGCACTCCCCCAGGAACACCACGATGTAGCGCCAAGAGTTGGGCGCCATCTGAGACGGTGAGATGCACCACCGTGAAATGCAAGAGGTTATGAGGGGATGCAGGGGGAGACGTAGCCCAGCCTCAAAAGCATCAATGGTGAGGGCGAAACCCCTTGGAATTGGATCGTACGACCATTGGCCGGGCTCAGGAGCAAGGAGAACAAACTCCTCCGGGATACCGTAGAGATCCCAGAGGCGATTGAGCAACGACTCGCTCACGGTTGAGTCGAGGTCGTGTGGCCATATCAGGGCTTCGAGGGCCCGGGCCGCCTTTTCGTCAGGTGACGAATTAGGATTCGACACAACCACCGTTTTTCCGGCTTTAGCCGAAGGAGAGGACGGAGAGGAGGAGGAAGAAGACACCATCCTTACTGACCTTTAGTGAGAAGAGAAGAACGAACGACGCAAACGAAATAGTGGAAGTCCGAAGCAGCGAAGTAAAAACAGATGGGGAGACCCTCAGGGGGCTTGCCCCACGCTACGTATAAACAGGCCACATCCTGCCAAAACGATGACCCTTCCTCTCCAGAAGTGCGCTGCAAGGACGAAAACGTCACTTCGCCATAAATGCAGCCTGACGTGGCAGCCAACGGCAGCGCGGTGCGAAGCACGGAGGCGTTAATCATATCAGGCTCGAAAGTCGACGACTCCCAAAAGGGGCGGCCCCTTGAGCTTCCCCAGGAAAGAAGCAACCTAGCCACCCGCGCCCGCGCGCGGTTGAGCGATCGATCGCTAACCAAAACAAAGTTGCTCCTCGGCTGCATGCTGCCCGAGGCCACCCCCTCGGCTGCATACTGCCCGAGGCCACCTCCTCGGCTGCATACTGCCTGAGGCCACCTCCTCGGGTGCAGGCTGCCCGAGGCTACCTCCTCGGCTTCATGTTCCCCGAGACACACCTGCGTGGCCAGCCCGCCTGTGTCGTGCTCCTCGACTCAATGTTCCCGAGACACACCTGCGCGGCCTGCCCGCCTGCATCATGCTACTCGGTCGCATGACCCTCGTGACAATGCCTGCACGGTCTGCCCTCTTGCGTCGTGATCCTCGGCCGCATAATGCCCGAGACCACACCTGCGCGGCCAGCCCGCTTGTGTCATGCTCCTTGGCTCAATGTTCCCGAGACACACCTGCGCGGCCTGCCCGCCTGCGTCGTGCTACTCGGCCGTATGACCCTCGCGACCATGCCTGCGCGGTCTGCTTGCCTGCGTCGTGATCCTCGGCCGCATAATGCCCGAGACCACACCTGCGCGGCCAGCCCGCCTGCGTTATGCTCCTTGGCTCCATGTTCCCGAGACACACCTGCGCGGTTAGCCCGCTTGCATCGTGCTACTCGGTTGCATGACCCTCGCCACCATGCCTGCGCGGTCTGCCCGCCTGTGTCGTGATCCTCGACTGCATAATACCCGAGACCACACCTGCGCGGCAAGCCCACCTGCATTATGCTCCTTGGCTCCTTGGCTCCATGTTCCCGAGACACCTGCACGGCCTGCCCGCCTGCGTCATGCTACTCAGCCGCATGACCCTCGCGACCATGCTTGCGCGGTCTGCCCACCTGCATCGTGATCCT